TACCTCCAGTCCTTCTGCGATTCCCTCCTGGAGAACCTGGACAAGTGAGTTCCCCTGTTAGTTCCTCTTTTCCCTTTCACTGGATCCGAAACGGGAAAACCGGGCGCTCACGGAGCCGTTTATTTCTCCTCAGGATCCCCGGAGACTCCCGGACCAAAGTGGGATTCCTCACGTTCGACAGCACCATCCACTTCTACAACCTCCAGGAGGGCCTGTCCCAGCCCCAGATGCTGGTGGTGTCCGACATCGACGGTACGAACGCTCAGAAAAGCTAATTACAGCGGGGGAAATAAGTATCTGACCCCTTGCTGATTTTGCAGGTTTGCCCACTTACAAAGAATGCAACGATCTATAACTTTAATCATATGTACATTCTAACAGTGAAAGACAGAATCCCAAAGAAAATTCCAGAAAATGAGATTGTTCATTAATGAGCACTGTCCTGATTAAATAAATAAATACATAGTGGGGGAAATAAGTATTTGACTCCTTGCTGATTTTGCAGGTTTGCCCACTTGCAAAGAATGCAACGATCTATAACTTTAATCATATGTACATTCTAACAGTGAAAGACAGAATCCCAAAGAAAATTCCAGAAAATGAGATTGTATGAGAGTGTTCATTAATGAGCACTGTCCTGATTAAATAAAAAAATACATACAGTGGGGGAAAAAGTGTTTGACCCCTTGCTGATTTTGCAGGTTTGCCCACTTACAAAGAATGCAACGATCTATAACTTTAATCATATGTACAAAGAAAAAAAGTATTTTTTTTATGTGTTTGTTTTTCTTTTTTGCAGACGTTTTCATCCCATCTCATGACAGTCTGATGGTGAACCTAAAAGAGAGCAAAGAGGTGGTTTTCTCACGATTTCTTATGAGCTTTTCTCCTATAAAGACTAGTTGGATGTAGACATAAACTCTGGTTGAAGCCACTAGATCAGTGTTTTTCAACCCCTGGTCCTCGGTACACTAGTGTGCCGTAGAAAATCATCCTATTTCACCTAATTGGTCTAAAAAGATTTTTTTGATAAGGAATTAATTATCTGCAAATAATATTCCATTTTTGAGTGTGAGTGCTGTTCTAGTGACTGGTGGAGTAATCATGTAATAATTCCTTATGACTAGATTTTGGATATAATTTTGTATATTGAAGTGGACATGTTAAGTGCAATTTGAAAGAAGAAATATAAAATATGATAAAAATACATTTTTGTGTTTATTTGATTCCTATTCAAGACACTTAAGATCAGATACGAATAAAATAAGAATAACTATAGTGCTACTATAGGCGGATACAGATTTGTTTAACATTTTTGGTTGGTGTGCCTCGAGATTTTTTCAATGAAAAACTGTACCTTGGCTCAAAAAAGGTTGAAAATCACTGCCCTATCTGACTCTTCCCCTGCCCCCCCCCCCCTAGCTGGTGAAGGAGCTTCTGAGGGCGCTGCCCTCCATGTTCGGCTGCAGCACGGAGACCCAGAGCGCTTTGGGCCCCGCCCTGCAGGCCGCCTTTAAGCTAATGTCCCCCACCGGGGGCAGAGTCTCCGTGTTCCAGACCCAGCTGCCCACGGCCGGAGCCGGCAGGCTGCAGTCCCGGGAGGACCCCAACCAGCGCTCCAGCACCAAGGTGGGCTAGCATTAGCATCCGATTAGCATCGGGATTAGCATCTGGATTAAGGTCTCACACTCAGACT